CTATTCCATTCTTCAAATTCTTTATGGTATCAGAGCCCTCTTGACCAACGTCCCTAACCATGGCTTCTCCTTCATCAACTCTTTCTGATACTGCTTCCACCACAAACCCCCCGCTCACTACTCCACCTATTATCAATGTCACCAAACTGACCAGAGACAATTATCACGTCTGGAAGGCACAGATGATACCGTTCTTCCGTGGCCAAGGCCTCTTTGGCTATCTGAGTGGTACTACTAAATCCCCACCTGAGGAAGTTGATTCTACTCATCCAACAACTGGTGTTATCTCCTCCATTCCAAATCCACTATTTGCTCACTGGCAACGTCAGGATGCCATTGTCCTGGCCATTATTCTTTCCACCATCACTGAAGCAGTTATGGCACAGGTCGTCAATCATACAACTTCCTCTGCTGTATGGTTTGCACTTGAGACCACCTTCTCCTCTCAATCTCGTGCTCGTGCAATTCAACTTCACACAAACTTGGCTAATGCTCGCAAGGGAGCTCTATCCGCTAATGATTATTTTATGCACATCAAAAAATTATCTGATGAACTTGCCATTGCAGGACAAGCTCTCAAGTGTGATGAAATAATCACCTACCTTCTGTCAGGCTTAGGTCATGATTATGACCCCTTTGTTATGACTATTCAAGCTCGAAATGATCAAATAACACTTGAAGAAATCTACTCTCTCTTGTTGACTACCGAGTCTCGACTTAACCATCACAATCAGATCCAACCTGTGCTGCAAGGATCAGCTAATGTTGCCACCAGACAATCTCCACAACCTCAACGTGGTCGTAGCTCCCGCAGTCGGGGGCGCGGGTTTCGTGGTAGTAATAATTTTTCCAATGCCTTTGGCCGTGGACAATCCTTCCGCGATGTGGTTTCCTGTCAGGTTTGTGATAGGCCTGGTCACACTGCAAAGAAATGCTATCATCGATTTGATATCAACTATCAAGCCTCGGCTTTTTCTTCTCCCCGCCTTCCGCAAGCTATGATAGCCTCTAATAATTCCTCAGATGATACAGAATGGCATCCAGACACAGGCGCCACTCATCATCTCACCAATGAGGTGAACAACCTCAATTTGCAAAGAGAGGACTATGATGGTGCTGATCAAATCCAGGTCGGCAATGGCGCAGGTTTGCAAATATCCAAAATTGGTTCTACTATTCTCTCAAATCCCTCTTGTCCCTTTATTTTAAGTCAAGTTTTACTTGTTCCAGATATTAAAAAAAACTTAGTCTCTGTACATCAGTTTTGCAAAGACAATTCCGTATACTTTGAATTTCATCATTCTTCCTTTTTTGTTAAGGACTACTCGGGGCACATCCTGCATCAAGGA